GGGGAAAAAAAAAAAAAGGAAAAAAAGGGGGAAAAAAGGGGAAAAAAAGGAAAAAAAAAAGTAGAAACGCAGGGTGGACGAATGTGGGCCATTAGCAAGATAGGCGATCATGATGATTATGACGGCCCAGGTGTGGCTGGAGGGATATGCAGTTGCCGACGGGTGCGAGTTGAATGGGCCTCGTTAGACACTCCTTACGAGTTCCTTGCGCCACAAGGAATTTTCCTTGTGGCTCATAAGGGAATTCGGGCTCTTCGTTCCACCTGTCCTCGGGGATGTCGCCCGAGGACATTTCCTTAGACTGATGTCAGGAAAAAAAACAGAAAAGAAAAGAAAAAACAGTTGTGCTTCAGGCCTTCAGCCAATAGGGTGCCGCCACGATCCAGATTCTCAGCTGTAACGTCTATCTACCCGTGTGCCCTCTCCTTGGGCACAATGAAGAAATGGCTGGGGCCACAAGGATGCTGGCGTTTTCACATTTCTTTTTCAATTTCGTCCCCAAGGACAGGTGGAACGAGCATGTCCTTGTGGATTTCACGTCCCCAAGAAGTGGCTAACGAGGCCCAATGTCTTGCACCCATTGGCGGCTCGGATTACACACACAACAAGGGAACATTAAAGCAGCAAGAGGAGGAGAAGAGGGGCGAGGAGGTGGTTTTATAGGGCCTGGCGTGCATATTCACGCTGCAGTGCGGGGGATCACAGCGCTTCCGCTCTCTCTCTCTCTCTCTCTCTCTCTCTCTCTCTCTCTCTCTCTCTCTCTCTCTCTCTCTCTCTCTCTGTCTCTGTGTGTGTGTGTGTGTGTGTGTGTGGTGCTATTTTTTTATATATAGCTATATGTCCGATGGAGGTAACTACTAACTAGGGAGCTGCATTTTTTTATATATAGCTGACCGGCTGCACCATGTGTGAGAGTGTAGGACAGTTGGGGAGAGAGTGTGCCAGACAGGACGGGAGAGAGAGGAGAAGGACAGGACAGCCCGGGGTGCGGTCGAGGTAGCCATGGAGCGAGGGAAGGAGAGAGAGTAAGAGAGAGAAGAGGGAGGGAGGGGAAAGACGCCAAGAGCGAGCTTGAAGACTGTACTAGACATCCCTTCAGCAAATTTGAGAAGGTTTCGTTCGGAGGGTAAGTACTTCTCAAAGAAGTTCCCTAGTACGAGATTTCGTATGAGAGTTCGTATGAGAGTCCGACGACGATTTGTTGCTTGGTGTCTCGTCGTTGAACCTGTCGGGATACGGACTTCGTTCCCCTCGTTCCTTCGTGGAAGACGTCGGGATACCGAGCAGCACCTTCCAGGGCTGCCGACACGACGTGCCGTTTTGCTACTAAGTTAACGCTTGATGGGCTTTTGAACGGTGGACGATGGAGTCCATAATGTCCATTTATTTTCAACAAAATAACTGTGAAAATTTAAAAATTATAAAAATACGCGACTCCTGCCACCTGTATCACTCTGATTCTGACGTGTGCTTTTACACAGGCAGCAACCACTTCTCAAGGTGCGTTTTCACACTTATTCTCGTTCTCACATTTACGCGTCGTCGATGCATTGACGTTTTTTTTTTTCTTGGGAGGGGGGGGGGAGTTCTTTACAAGTGAAATCCGCACTTTTTTCGGTTTTTTTTTTATTATCCGAAACTAACCTTCATCCTAATTTAAATCCAATCTAAAACTCAGGACTTATTTTTCAATACTCAACAGTACTCAACTGCAGTACTGTCCAAATAAAATAAACGTAAAAAAAAAAAAAAAAAAAAAAAAAAACCGATGATGATTTTTTTTTTTTTTTTTTTTTTTTTTTGTAATAGTTTCTTTCTTTCTTTTTCTTTTTTTCTTCTTTTTTTTTTCACCGGGTGTTTGCAAGCCCCGTCATAAAGGTACATTTATGTTTTTTTTCACAGTTGGAGAGTGGTGTGTCTTTTCCATTTTATTGTAATT